GGGTGCCTGAACGAAGCATATTTGTATACCTAACCCTTAACTGTACCCCACAATATCATAATAAAAAATATTGTTTATAAAAAAAAAGAAAAGAAAGCAGTTGGGAAACCACATTATTTATTTATGTATTTATTAAAACCTTTTGAGAACTATGTGCTTGAAGCTGGAGAATGTGATGTATATACAAATATAAACAAGACTCAAGCACTACCCTTGCCCTTAAAAGTATTATAGTCTCATAAAACATGAACAGAAATGACAATTCTAGATAGAAAATGATACCTGCCATAAAAGGAGTACAAATGAAGAGCTGTTGCATAGAGGGAAAAGAGGAGGGAAATATGATTTTGACCAGGCAGGGTTAGGGAAGAAGATTCTGTGAAGGAATCTGAGAAGAGGCAGCATGTGTGTTGATCTCTGAAGAATGGCTAAGCCCAGTAGAGATGGGGAACAAGGAGAGGGTATTCCAGGCAGTGGTACTACCATGAGAAAAAGTATGGATGGAGACTGGAATTTACAAAGTGTGCGTGGGGAATCACAGGATTCCATTCTAGAATGGAAACTGGGTGAGAAAGGAAGGTTAAAGCCAGATTGTGAACAGCTTTGAGTGCCAGGATAAAGAAATGGGACATTTCAGTAGGCAATGGAGAACCACTAAATGTGTCTGAGCATAGAAATAATAGGGGTCGAGCTTTGCTTTTAGATATTCCAGTAGATTTGTATTATACTCATGAGTAACTAACATGAATTCAAAAAGACTAGTATAGAATGTGACTTTGGTGTTTAAAGATACATTTTTTTCATACTACATGGTCCCTAAAACCAGATGACTTCATCTGGTGTTCAACCAAGAGAAAAGTAATCTGTTCCAAAAGTTGAGGAAAAATGAGCAGAGTTGAACTTTTTAAGAAACAGTATGTCTATAGATGCTATCTTATAGACAATATAAGGCATTTTCAAGGGTAATGTTCATTGTGTGAGATTTTCTTCATAAACAATGACTTAAAGACAACCAATCCTTATACTTCATGTAAGATGCAACTATACCACAGTCTGGCAGCAGCAAATGTGGTAAGCTGAAAATGAGAAATGGTCATGCTAATTGGACTATGGCAACAGTCCAGCCAAGAGGCTAAAAGAGCCTTAATTAAGAAGCGGCATTGCCTGAGCCCACGGGTTTGAGACCCGCCTGGGCAACTTGGCGAGACCTCATCTCTACAATAAATCAAAAATTAGCCGGGTGTGGTAGCGCACCCCTGTAGTTCCGGCTACTTGGAAGGCTGAGGCGGAAGGATCGCCGGAGCCTAACAGGTCAAGGCTGCAGTGGCCGGGAGCGGCCACTGCACTCCAGTCTGGGCGACACAGTGAGACTTCAACTCAAAAAAAAAAAAAAAAAAAAGAAGCAGCAGCAATGGAAACAGAGAGAAGGGACACAAGTAAAAGATTCTATAGAAAATGAGTAGACAGAAGCTGTGGGGAGAAGAGGAGAGTTTGAAAACAACTTACAGAGCTAAAACTTGACTGACTGGGGTTAGGGTAATATCCTCAATAGAAATAGGGATTCTAAATAAGAAACAGGTTTAGGAGGAAACTTGGTTTGGGATATCATGCGTTTGAGGCAGCATCTGGATATTCAAGTGGAAGTATTCAGTAGAAAGCTTGCAATGGAATTACAGAGATAAGTCGTGGTGAGCTGGAGATGGAAATTTGGGGATTATCCATTTTAGAATAATAAAGTCATGAAATCAGGTAGAGTTGTCAAGGAAGTGAAGACAGAAAAAAGAGAAGTGGTTTGAGGATACTAACTTAAGGGAGGTTTTTGTTGTTGTTGTTGTTGTTCATTTGTTTGTTTGTTTTTATGGAGGTGAAGGAATAAAACAGGAAACGGTGGAGAAGGCCAATTAGAGAAACAGGAAGACAACCAGGAAAACTCTGTGTCTGGGAGTTGATGCAAAATGTCAAGTCAGGAGCATCATCAAAGTTAAATGCTACAGATGGGAGAGAAGCCTGAAGACTGATAAAAGATGACTTCAAAGACATTAATGTCCTTGAAGAATAGATTCCTTTAAAGCTGAGAAGACAGAAGGCAGATTATCACAGGGAATGAGGAGGAATGGGGGGCGGTGGCCATGCACCACCTTTCTGTCAATTTGGTGGTGACAGGAAATCAGGAGATGAGATGATTTCTTGGAGTAGGGTAAGCAATGTTGAATGGAGAGTGGAATGGGCATATGAGTAGGTCAGAGCTAAGGGAAACCCTGGAAATACAAAGAGAGAAGGGAGATGGAACAGAGTTCCTCAAAAGGGAGAAAAAGAGGAGTCAGGGACAAAAACCATGAAGTGGTTCTGGGGGTTTGGGAAGGAGAGTATTCTGATCCTCTTTCCTAGGAGACCAGGAACAGTTGGGAGAACTGGAGAATTTATAGACTAGGGAAGAGAAGACCTCAGAGATACCTGATAACTAATAACATTTATTTGAGGCATCAGCCAACTAGAAATGAAGGCTAATGATAATTCATATCAGGGTCTGACTCAGAAAGTAAGATCAGAGAGACGTCTGTTAATGCAGGAGAATACAGTAGTTGTAATCCCCATCTCTGAGATTGTTCAAGCATAAGTTAAAGGATGGTGAGACATACCAGACCCAGTTGTGTATAAAGAGTAGGGTTTCTTGCATTAAGGAGCACTCTAAATTGTTTTTTTTGGGGGGGGTGTGTATGTGTTTTGTCCAAGTCTCACTCTGTTGACTAGGCTGGAGTGCAGTGGTGCGATCACAGCTTACCTCAGCCTCCAACCCCTGGGTTCAGACAATTCTTCTGCCACAGGCACCGAGTAGCCGGAACTACAGATGTATGCCATCATGCTCGGCTAAATTTTTATTTCTTGTGGTGATGAGGGTCTTGCTATGTTTCCCAGGCTAATCTTGAACTCCTGGCCTTAAGCAATCCTCCCACCTAAGGATTATAGTGCTGAGATTATAGGTACAAGCCTCTAGGCCTTGCCTACATTTTTCTTTGGGGGGGCTGTGAATTAGATGTCTTGTGATGTTTTTCACCACTTAGTCTTGATCTCTGCTATCAAGAAAGCTAAGATATTGCTTTACACAAGAATGCAACTGGGTCAATATCCTAAGAACATTAGAAATGTTAAGGAGCATCTCAGTGTGTCATTTCAACTACACCACAGGAGGATCAAGCCCCTAGGGCATTTCTAGCATAAAACAACGGTCTCAAGATTAGAGCTCACCATGATTTTCCAAGTGCATAACTGTACATGCCCACAAATCTTTTTATATTGTGGCCGCCTG